TCCACTTTCACCTGTCCCTGATAATTATCATTTATGGTTGCAACAGTTAGTTGATCTTTGTGGTTCTATCTCTGAGATAAATATGGCATGGAGTCGTCACATCAAATTGTTTCCTCACTTCATAAGGACCAATGCCTCGAGTTCACTTAACAGCTTTACTGAACAAAGGAGAAACATTTCCTATGTCTTAGTTAATCAGCCATCAAAAGGACCAAGCTCTGGCCATTTGATCCAGCTGTCCAAAGGAGAGGAGGCGCATCTACTGCCACTTAAAGATGGTAAGCGACCAGACCAGCTTTCTGCAGAGCCGTCTTTAGCTGTAGATAATGACAAAGGTACGACTGGTAAACAGGAACAGCTATCTTCCAAAATGGAAGATCTATCTGGTGGAGATGGCTCTGGGAAAAATGAGTTATCTCTTAAACCTGTTGATAAATCAAAGGATGATTCATCGATGCCAATGGAACTAAGTCATGATCCGTCACAGCAGAGGAGAGAAGATTTGCCTGGACCAATGGACTTCTCTTATGAATCTGTACCTCAATCTGGAGATGATGCATCCAAGTCTCCTGGGCCAGTTCTGGACTTTAAAGAGTCCTCAGGGCCCCTTTCTGTTTTAGAAGCCTCAGAAAATATCCATCAAGATCAGGATGTTGAACATGAACAGCTACCGATGCCGGTTTCTTTGGAGAATCTTTCCTTGGTTTCTGAGAAAAAGGAATCTCAGGGCTTTGCCTCCATGCACTCTGATGGTCTTGGAAGTGGTGAACGAATTCCCTCATCAAGCACGGGCAGACCACAAGATCCTATACTTGATGGAGATGGACCAGCTAGTTGTTCATCTCCAGCAACATGTCTATTTTCCACAACAGCAGAAACGCATCCAGGTCCTGTTACTGCTGAAAGTTCACAGCAGATAAATGATATAGTCGCAGTTCCTGAATGTGGTAGTTCAAAGGTGCCTGCAGGATATGATCAGCAACAGGAGCTACAACGAGCTGCTTCACAAGAACCGCACTTGCTTAATTCTCAGGGTGATCCACAGATACAACAGGTCCTGGAAAAGGCTACTATGCAGTGTCAATCAGGTACTTCTCAGGGGAATATCTCAGGTAACCAATGCTGGCCATTGAATAATATGCCACAGCAGATCTCCATGTCTGGACACCATCCCCAGGTGTCTTCTTCACCTGTTTCTTATTCTCAACCAAGTACACCTCAACATTCTGTGCACAATAGCCAGCAAATTGGGCCCAATCCCCATCACGAAGCATTGAATCAAACATCACAGGACATCTCCCTATCTGAAAACCACCCTCAAGTCTCTTCCTCACATGTTTCATTTTCTCAACCAAGTACGCCGCACCATTCTGCGCAGAATAGCCAGCAAATTGGGCCCTCACACCACCAAGAAGCATCGAGTCAAACGTCACAACACCATTACCAGCAGCAGCATCTTTTGCACGGACAGTATCAGCAGCAGCTGCTTATTCAGCAACAGCAGCATCTTTTGCACGGACAGTATCAGCAGCAGCTGCTTATTCAGCAACAGCAGCATCTTTTGCACGGACAGTATCAGCAGCAGCTGCTTATTCAGCAACAGCAGCAAACCCTTCTATCACAACAGCAACAGTATTTCCAGAAAATTCAGCCTTTACCACAACAGCAATTTCTCCTGCACCAGCTACAGTATTTACCGCAGTCACAGCAAGTATGGCAACAGCAAGTACAACAGATGCAACCACATGAACCCCAGCAAACTCAGGAGCACTATCCGCAAGCACAGGAACAGCAGCTACAGCAATATCGCCAGTCACAAGAACTTGCATACCAGATGCAACAACATGGTTATCAACTACTCTTGCACCAGTACCAAGTACGTCAACAAGGATATCAAAGTATGCAGCAACAACAATGGCAACAACAGGGACATTTCCAATTACAGGAATACAGTCACCTGCAACAGCAGCAATATCATCATCTGGAGCAGCAAACAGATGAGGAATACAATCAAACCCATCAGGTTCCTTCCTTATAATTGCTTATTATCTTATTGAACTGAGTGAACAGTCTCTCTGTAAGCATTTGTTTATCTCAGTGTCTTCTGAGTGCTCAACTGGATGTGTAGAATTCCAACTTGTGACATACTTTTACTAGTCTCTGTTGGTATAGGTATTGGAGTTCATAAACTTGTGTATGTGATTTTGGCACCATCTTATGGCACTAGAGATTGACATGTTATAATGCACAGGACCAACAGGTGGCGGTTCAACATTCTTCGGGAACTCCTCCTGAATCAGAATCACCAGAAATTTCAAGGCAACCACATTCGGTAGAAAGATCTAGATATTCTGTATCCCCTTATAGGCGGGCCCCTGCTCATGGAATATCACCTTCACATAGTAATGGCACATTGGCATCAGAGGCTTCTCCATTTTCGAGGACAAATTCTTCCCGAGAGAAGTGAAAATGGAGTATGTTCACGCCCTAGTTACTCTTGCTAAAGAATTTTTTTCTGTGTTCTGTAAACCGAATTCTCTTTATCCCCTAAATGTCAAAGTAGAATCATCACATGGAAATCACATAGAAAGGAAGGCGACGAGATCGATAATAGAAGAGCTTTTTTTCTGAACGTCTATCATGAGTTTTTAGGTTTTGTTCTAGGGCCTCAAATGTATCTACTCAATGGTCTAAACTTGGCTAATATTATAGGTCTTAAATGAGGGTTGGATTAAGTTTGCGCAGTCTGAGGCGGATGTAGTGTTCATACTACAACCAACTTTTGACACGTAATATAGCTATATATGTTAAGAACTTCTAAAATTTAAACAAATATTAAATTCTAAATCTACTATCTAACGGTGCAATGAATTAAGTGCTAAAAATCTTCAGGTCAAACCCACAAATTTAGAATTCTTAATCCGCATGTTCAGCTGATTAACAATTATGAAAATTTTGTTTGAGTCAAGATGGGTTGGGTCGTGAATAGATTGAATAGGTCATGTTTCTAGCTTGTCAAACTTACGTAGTTGTTGGTTACACTTGTGGGTTAAAATTTATACCCTAGGGTGTCAAATAGATTGGTTGGATGAGATCTAGGTTCTAGGCAGGGTAAAATGGTTAAATCAGATTCAATCTACTCAGAATTTGGTTGAGTCAAGATAGGTAGAGTCAAATAAGTTGAGCAATGAGTCATTGGTACACTTTTAATGAGTCAAAAATCAGTATTAGCTTATATTCGGTCATGCATTTGGCTTAAGGTGAGTTGCCTGCATCGGCATATAACACACTCATTAGACAGCAAGAATTTCGATCTCTAACTTACTTAGGATTGAGACATAGTTGTTGTAATACACACAATTTATTATTACTGGTGCTATTTTAGTGGAGATGTGCTGGGTCTGAATTTTGGCATTATTAGTGCTATTGTTGCGTATTATGTATGTATGTATATTGTATGTGTAGTAGCTTTGGAGTTTATCCAATCCAAGGGAAGATTGGCACGCCAAGGCTTGAGGAGCAATCCCTAACATGGAAAGCCATGGAGATGATATTAATGAATTTAGTGTCATTTACTTTTTTTCCCCCCTTTGTGGCACTCCTATTAGTTTATGTTATTATGACGTCCTAACTAATGAAGTAGTGCGACAGTGTTGTTTTCGCAATTGTATCATCGTCATCGTCTTCGCTGGTCTCATTCCTTTTTTATCATTTAAATATATATAAAGTTGTTTAATTCAGTGTCTTAAAAGGCGTTTTCGGGGCGAGGCGTACCAAAAACGTCCCGGACGACGGTGTCAAGAGGCGTACGCCCAACAATTCGGAACTTACGCCCGGGCATTTGAGGCAAGGTTTTTTAGTGAAGCGTAAGCCCCAAAAAAATTTTCAAATTAAAACAAAATTTGTTGAGTAAGTCCTTCATATAATACCCAAATTTTCAAAATTAACCTTGAATTAAACTCAAGGTTACTTAAATACACAGTGTGAAGAATGAAGACGCTCCATTTATTTTTTATCGGTGCTGATCTCTCCTTTGGGAGTACAAAGCTTGCATTTTGAAAACCAGAAAATATCCAGCTACAGATAGCTTTGAATGCGTTTATTCTTGTTGCAGAATTGCCAAGTGCAAATACCTAATTTATCTTTCGGTCTTACTTGCTTATACTAATTGATTATTCAAAAGAAACTATCAACATCCGCGCTCTTAGAGAAAGAACACAGAGCACTAGCAGTGTGGACTTCGGTCTTTAAGTTTAACGAGAAAATACAACGCCAGTCAAAACCCACACAATTTTATCTTTATCCAAGAAGCCTAAAGTACAATAGTAGCAACGAACTTGAATTGAATAATCTTTAATTGAACTATTGAGCCATTTTATCGACCTTCCTAAATATTTCAAGCCTACGTTGAACAGAGAACAGCAGATGACAGATTAAATGGTTAATCACTCACTAAGATTAGTTCCCAGATTATAAGTAGAAATACACTAACACGAGATAGAGTTAATATGAAGAAAGTCATTACACAGAGAAACCATCGGACAACAGAAGATCCTATACTTCAAAAAGTTAAAAGAGTGGTTACGTTTCCGGGGAAAAGATCATGGGTTTATGTGATAATTAGTCTTTTGCACCTTGTTTGGTATGAGCAGTACCCAGAAAATATGGACTGTCAGCATGGGTTAGCAGCGAAAGTAACTACAACATGACTATGATATCCAAATCAAATTCACAGTTAATAAGCAGGCAGCCTAATTCAACCCATACACAGACGACGCCAACTCACTCAATAATCGTCTTTAACAAATAAGGGATGAAAACTATAATTATGTTCATACACTTCTCTCGTTAAGAAAAATTAAGAACAATGGAACAAAAAGCATTATTCAACAGTTTCCTCGGATGAACAAATACTCTTTATGCCACGAAGCTAAAAGAGCACCAAAGACATGAAAAGATAAGAAGGGACAATGACCAGTGAGCTATATACTGCAGGGACATATTATACAAGAAGGTATAAGATAAAACATTTCTAATTATACACCCTGCCCTAGGAAAATATCTTACACGGTTTTGAGTTCATCCTGACACTGGCCGAAGAAGGAAAAAAGAAAATAAGAGAAAAAACCTGATTATTTTGAAAAAGAAAACCTGATATTGTCTGCAGTAGTTAGTATTTCTCAACAAAAAAAATTGTTAGTTTATTCTCATAATAACCCTGAGAAAACATTAAACAAATCGATACTGCATACCTAAAATTAGTCCACTTGGTGGCCAAAACATTAGTTATCTCCATTTGACCTGCAGATAACAGATTCAAATTGGAAAGGGTAATGAAAATTTTACAAGCACAGATATCAATGACAAGCAATATCACGGTAAGCTGGACCATGAGATACCCAAATCATGCAAACTTCTCAGTATCTGCACAGAGGGTTCGACCGAGATTGAAAGTCTAATTCCAACCACTGCATCACCAGACATACCAATTTAGAGCCTTTGCAGCTCTGCCAAAACTTCCTTGTCACCACTTAGAAAGCACCCATTCTTGCAGATAAACTTGTCTAAACAATTCAACCGCGCATATAGACCCTCATGTCAACATTAAGCATCATTTTCCAAGGAAATAACACGTGGACTAAACCCAGGGGCCGGGGAAACCCCTATACTATCATCTTCAACCCGTCTATGTGGCTTTTGCAAAGATAGCCAGTCCCAACCTGAATAAAGGATAAGTACTGAGTAGATTGATGGCCTACAAGGAATCCCCTGAATACTGCATTCGGCTCTTGAAGTAGGCCTAAACAGAGTGGAATGGTGGATGACTTATATAATCGACAACGACTAGTCTAAGAGGCATAATTGATATCATCCTCAACCGGAAATTAGGTTCTTCAAGAATGAGTCAGGAGAAGTCTCAAATATAAAGAAAATTCCTTAATGTCACTAAACCAGTAATAATATAAGACATTCCACTCATGTGCAAAGTTCGATGTATCACTGACCATGAGAGATTGTCAAAGATTTAGGCCATAGCTAATCTACTAACAATATTCAATAGATCCTGCATCCCGTCACAACCATGCTTAAAAGGCTTAATACTGTCACAACCGAGAGTCTATCGGAAACAGTCTCTTTACCCCCAGGGTAGGGGTAAGGTCTGCGTACACACTACCCTTCCCAGACCCCACTAGTGGGATTATACTGGGTTGTTGTTGTTGTTGTACCATTTTTTTTTTGGAGAAAGGTAACGATTTCTTCTACCGTGGTTCCATTCTGGAATTACTTCAAAAGGTTTTTTATGATGCATTTGTAATAGCCTATGTGTTGCAAATAAAGAACATCCTATGGCCGACTAACTACTATACTGGGAGATAAGACTGATATTGAAAGAGGTTTTCCTATATGGTTATGAAATCATTTTGATTTAATGTTATGAATCAAATGTGTTGGAATATTGAAAGGATGGGAGACAGGAAACACAAAGGAACATACTTGCAGTTATATACCTAACCAGCAAATTCACAATACTACACTCTGAACAACAATGATGCACATTATGCAATACGTCAGCCAACATGTTTTCACAGGGCTAAGTCATATTCCACTCCTAAACAGTTCAGTCATTACATGATGCCACAAGCTTGTCATATGACTCATATCCCAGGGAAGGCCTATAGATTAATCAAGCTATCTGGTCAAACATAAACTACGAGTACCTCCTAGTCAAACTGGCTGATCCTTTTGCATGATATCTCATCCACCCAAAACAACTATAAACAGATTGAGCAACCGAGCAGGCAGAAAGCAACACCCTCATTTTAAGTGAAATGACCTAGATCTTCAGAGAAATTAACTTTAAGCCAAAGATGAACATTAGTGATCTAGTGCTTTAGCTCAACCATCTTGATGAGCATTCATTCTTGGGATAATCCAAAAGAATGATAGTCTACGTCAAGTAGCAATGATTGGTCAACTATATTAGCAGATTAACACAATTACAACTTATAAGCTATTCTTTTTTACAAGGTAAGGTAATTGTATAACTTATAAGCTATTGCAGTAATGCCAATCTAACTATCCGAACAAATTAAAGTGGAAGGGGCTGACAGCATCTCGCCAAAAAAAATCCACCCAAAGAAAAACCTCCCTAGCATATTCCAGGTATTCATCATATCAAGTATGAAAACAGTTGTATGAACTTATTTATAGCACAGAAGATCCTTGAAAAGCATTACCCTTGAAATCTTATGAGTTCTTAAGCAAAATAAATGCAGAAGCATAACTCATCCAGATTCACTCTCATGAAATCCAGACCAAAACGTTAAGCATCAGCGTCATGTTCAAATCACAAGAAACTATTTACCAAGCAAGGAAAATGGGAGTGTTCATAAAATTGATGATAAAGCTAACTTATTAAAATGTTTTCAGATTTCAATTTCCTATCTATTTTGTACCAAAAAGAAGATTATGTTGCTTGGAGTTGTGTTTACTTTTATCCTCTACAGTTTTATTTTTTGACAAGGTGTCCACTTGAACTTTCTTTTCTGTTTTCCTTTTTGTTTTGTTTGGGATCCCTTTAGAAGCAGGGGGATTTTCCAGTCAAAGACCGGCAGTTATTACACCATGCAAGAAGACATTACAGAGGAAGAGTTAAAGTAGAAGTTAAAAAATTTAACCTGTTAGGAAATGGAAACTACATGACCCTAGCACATATATCCGGTCTCTACTTTGGTACATTTTACAGTTAGCCGTCACTCTGAAGCTGTTAAGCAGGTATCAGCGACAAGAAAGGCGATTTACCAATATTAGAAGAATTCTAGCGATACAGCTCTATTAGCCTTTAGTAGCATGAAATGCTAAAATTGGTCTCGCTGCAGTAAATAACTAGTGGAACTATACCATTATTATTTTCAACTCCAAAGCAATCAATTCTCTGGGTGAAATGTTAGCCAGAACTTTTAACATTTAACTGATCAATTTCTTACTTAATGACTATAACTTGAGACAACTGTTCTCTTTTCCTGATGCATAATAGGCAGTCAATCTTACAAGTGGAATCTTTCATCCATAGGCAAGATGATTAAGTAGTAACCTCCAGACCTAGTTCTACTTAGGCTTTGAGAGGAGTTTAATGGATTTTCGACTAAGGATAAAACATATAACTAGTAATGTTCTGAAATAAAACGAGAGTGGAACAACCAGTACAAGCCTACATGAAGAAACACGCAAGTGCTTGGATGTCCATGCTATTCTATTTTTGACTTCTAAAAGCTAGTAGTCTTTAAAGCATCATCTAATCATAATCCAATTAACTTCTAAACCTATTTCTACCTGCAACGCTGATGTTTTGCCAATTAGCATTTGATGGGAAGCTTATTTTTCGCAAAATTGACAAGTACACGAGACTCTGCCAAAGCTATATAATAAACAGGTAATTTAATCAAACAGACAGCTTTTATACTAGGACAACAAAACACAATCACAAAATTTATTTCACAAAAGATCAATTCATATACACAAGCTTGTAAATAACTAGGCATATAACTGTACATTGCACACAATGAGAACCTCTTGCAACTATATGCGAGAAATTAGATAAGCAATGGACTGAAGAAGGTTGTCAAAAGGGTAGAAACAAGAAAGGAATGAGCAAAAAGCTGACTCAACTAGAAGAGGACTAGTATTCTTATTCCACACCCAATTATATCAAGGCTCAATGAGGATAGAACAATGAGCAGGTAAATGAAGGATAATCTTTTTTAAATGAGAAGAGAGAGGAGGGATTGTTAGAGGAACTACTAGGAAGAAACAAGGGCCTCTTATTCCTTGTTACCAAATTTCTTAGCAATGATAGGTCGGACATCATCAGCATCAGCCAGTGCCTCTAGGAATGGAAGTAAAGAAATTAGTGCAGAGTCTGAAGGGTCATCAAACCAACTCTTAATAGGAATCCCATTATTCACTTGCAATCTGAAAACCTGAAATCAAGATGGGAAACTAATATTCAGTTACATAAAACAATAGCCTTACTTCAAGCTCAAATAAGCACTCTGCATATTCAACCTTGCTGTACGTATCTCTTAAGCATTTCTCCAATTTCCAAAGCACATCAAACTTGAAAAAATTCACAAACATCTAGACTCTTTATTTTTTAACAAATAATTTTCAACATATTCTTCTTCCTATAGAAAACTTGAAAAGCAGTCAAATGCCTGATAAGGGCGCTGTATCTATTTTACGGATTGCGCAGGAATTTCAGTGACTTGATCTCACCGGCCCACTCACCCTTACCAGCCACAACCAAATGAAAAAAGAGAGGTAAGGATCTACCATCCCAGCACCATTAAGTACATAGAGATTTGTGTCCGTCTCGCCAACAGGACAAACATATACAACAACAACTACTACTACTACTAGTCAGTCCCAAACTAGTTGGGGTCTGCTATAGGAATCCTCACTGACACGTTTCTCCATTTAAAATAATCTCAGGCCAGTATTATACAAATAACAAATATAATATGTACTAGAAGTTCTCTATATTTCCTATTGGCATAACAATCTCTAATAGGGCTAAAAGACTTCAAAAAAAGCAAAGGATCAAAAGTAAACGCAGTAACATGACAAAAGCATATTCCCAGCTAACAAGATAATAATACTCAATTTATCATCAAATACATAATTCAAGTAGATTACCTGTGGGGAATTATCTATAATTACAACTTTTGCCAGATCAACACCTAATACTGTTAAATCCTTCGTATAACTTCCATCAGAGAAGATGCATGATTCACGATACGCGCGCCTTGAAATAAGCTTTCCATCTGGATCCAGTATATCTAGCAGCTGCTTTGCATATATGCTCTGACTAGCGGTAAAAATTACGATTTCGAACATCTCCGCGACTCTCTCCAAGAATGTCTTGAGGTGAGGCCTCTGCCTCACATAGACAATGTGTTCTTTCATGTTGAAGAAAACAGGAAATGTGAAGTCTGCATCATCACAATGCTCCAGTGTAGAATGAACAAGTGTCTCTGGAGACATGAAATGAATATGCAAGATATTAGACCATCTTGTGGGAACTATGTCATACCTCTGTAAAATATTATATGTACTGAAAGTAATATTGCACCAAATACAGCAACTAAGCTATATACGTGTTATACATGAATGTACCAGAGATTTGACTGGATTACTCTGGTAGTCCCTACCATAAAAGAATCTTTGTAACTGGATCTCAGGTAAAGCAAAGATTGTTTTTACACCAAGCTACACATTGCATCATTTCCAGTGTAACCAAAAATTGCAGCAAGACGATAATGAAAAGTAAAATTGGAGTTCCCGAGTAGTGAATCTCACCATCTAGGTCAAGTACTAGGGTGATCGATTTGCTTCTTTGTGATTCTTTTGGCAAAATATTTGGCCTTTCTAATATGTCTGGCAAATTTCTTATGAAAATATGTGGGTCAAAGCATTCTGCTTGATCAGATTCTAAATATGTGAAAGCATCAGACTGTTCAGATGATCTGAGCTGGTGAATTGCCATGTATAAGCTCGAATCATCTGACTGAATGGCAGTTTCTCCAGATGTTCTGCAATCTTGACTATAGCTAGCTGCAGCAGTGTCTTCAAGAAAAGGCAACAGCAAGTATTCCTCATCCACATTAGTAAAGATATTTGGCTCTTCACACTTGTAATCAGACAATAATCTGCCAGTCAAACTGTCATCATAGATGGTTTCACCCTCGATGGCCAAACAAGAAACAATCATATCAGAGATGTAAAAATCTGAAACATTGCACGTCTGATGTTCACACGAACTTCTGCTGCTATCACTATCTTCGGTCTCCAATCGGGGTACATAAAAATCATTGCTTGCTGTAAACAACCAAAAACATGAGAAGTTTATGTAAGAATGATTTTTTTTCCCAGAACTGTGAGAGAGAGAGAGAGAGAGAGAGAGAGAGAGAGAGAGAGAGAGAGAGAGAGGCGCTTCTCAGCTCTTATCATCTATGGCCCGAGGGTGTTTTGGTTGTTGCCTGTTGGACAACATCCTTTTCAAGCTCAGGAAAAAGAAAGCAACACACAATTTAAGGGTGGGCTGTTGGTTTTCCTAACATCTTTTTCAGGACGAGGAGAGAAAAAGCAGAATTTCACAATCGACAAAAGAATTCAAAAAAATTGGGGGCATACCTCCATCACTGGGTACATTAGACTCACTGTGCGCACCAATCTCCAGACTAGGTGAAAAAATGGTCTCTGGGCTTGATTTGCAGGTTACTGCTGTAGGCTCCTGCAGTGATTTCAAAAAACGAAGGACAACAACAACATCAAAAATCAAATTGTCTTACTTTTGGCCTGTAGGCACAAGTATGGCATGGAAAACTAAAAATGTAAAACTGCCAGGAATAATTAGTAATAATGCACGAGTTATATTATGTGAATTATATATTTCTTTGTAGCTGCTTTTGTTTTACCAAACAAATACTATTGCGCCTCAATCCAAAGCTAATTGGGCTAGGCTTTTGTTGTAGTCAACTCGTGCGTCATGTCTTTTCTCAAGAAAAAAATAATGCAGGAGTTCACAACAACAAAAGCAGCTAGAAAGAAATGGACAATCTAGGGACATGTACAGGATAAAGCATGAAATAATCTATATTGAAAGAGTCTCCTAACAAAGCAAGTCATTTTTGAGACAGGGAATACATGTTATTCTTTTCCTGGTGCTCGTGTCTCAGCCCTTTCACATAATGTTATCTTCAAACAGCCACTTATCAAAA